TCCATTCCATGAATATTAGCCAATTAGCCATCAGCTATTTGCAAAAACAAAATGTCTTTGTCCTACATTCTGAAATGTCTGAGTTTTGAAAATCTGCTCCATAATTTCTGTTTCTGAATCATCTTAGCTTTGGTTTATTATTTACCTTGGTGGTGAAAGTGTACATCTTTACAGTTCATATGGTGGTTTGAAATATCTGCACATTACGGAATGACAAAGCCAGGCTGATTAGCATATGCATCCTATCACACAGCTACCAGAGCCCCTATGGGAAGGCTGTGCACCACCCTGGGTGTTTCTGTCCTCACTAGGCCACGTCTGCATGGGCACGTGTGGCAGTGGATGCACGGGACACATCTTAGCTCTGTTTGCTTTCCCTTCCCACCCTGCCTTTCTTCCCCTGCCCCTTGGGCCTTTCCCTTTCACAGATGACAACAATGCCCCATCCACAAAGAGCTCCTGAACCCGCTCCTGTCCCTAACAGACACTTCTATGCTCAGACCCTTACCTCCGATCACCCCACTCTGCCACTGACCCAGCGCATGGAAGCACTATTCTCCCCCGAGACCTATGAGACCAGCTGCTCTGTGCACCTCGTTTGAAGGCAGTCAGGCAGCATTTGTCCTTCTGAACCTGACTTAATTCACCTCACACATCTTCTTGTTCATTCAAGCTGTGTCAAATAGTGGGATTCCCTTCTTTTCAGGACCTGGTAGTGTCACACCCACTGTGTCCCAGGGTCCTCGCTGTGGACTGACTTGGCTATAGGGACTAAGGCTGTGACAAACATGAGGGTGCACATGCTTTGACACAGAGATTTCCTTTTTCACCTGGTGGAGGATTGCTGGATCATCTCAGAGGTGGTTGTAACTTTGGGAGGAAACTAAGGACTGCTCTATGGCACTTTCCCCCTGATGGTGTGCAAGGTCTCCACGACCTGACCAGGGCTGTGTCCTTTTTGTTGTGATGTCCTAGCAGGGTGAGGCTGTCTCACTGTGGCCACCTCACGGCCCCTCACAGTCAGTGCTACTGACCACTTTTTGCAATATGGCCTGGTTGCCGCTCTCCAGGGACCATATTGGGGTTCTTTTATGATGTGTGTATATATGAGCATATTATCAGTTCCACTTTAAATAAAAATAACTTAAATCAGTAAAATCAGCCTCAGTACCCTTTACTCCATAAAAATTCTTCAAATCTCATGAAACAGAAAAATTGTATCATAAAAGCTGTTTCAGATGTGTCCTTCAGAGAATGTATGTTGTGTTTATTTGGTAAAAGGGTGATTAAGTAATCCAAGTAGGGTTGCATCCGATTTGATTGATTCAGTAAGTTAATTCTGATGTTACTATGAAAAGAACAAAGAAGCAGGAAAAGAAGCCTACCCAAAATCTTAAAATTATCTCAGGGAAGGGTGTAAACTCTAAAGGCCTCACCACAAAAAATGATAAATGAAGGAGAGGATGGAGATGTTAATTAGCTTGAGTTAATTATTCCACATGGTGTACATGGGCAAAGCATTCATTGCACCCCATAAATGTGCACTGTGGGCACACTTGTCAATTAAAACTAAGATTAATTTTCAGAAGTATGTCGTAGGGTAAATGCTGTAAAAGTTGCATTGGGACACATCTTGCTGATTCCCTTCTCGGATGATGTCCAGTGTCAGTTTTATGTGACACCTGACTCTTCGGCTCCTCCTACCACTGTTCTCCGCTCATCCCAGTAACCTCCAGAAGGAGCTCAGGGGTCGTTGCCATGGTGAAGCAGGTGACTGGGTCTTGAAACCTGAAGACCAAACCCTCTCCAAATGCACCAGAAACACATCAGGTGGCAGCAGCTCCCTGGGTCAACTGGCCAGGCCCTTGGTCCCCTAGGGAGACCCACTTTGCCTGCAAAGCAGGGGTTGGGGTGCAGTAACCCAGCAGTGGGGATAGAGCTCTTAGCACTCTGGTTGTGGAGTATAGCCTGGAGACGCTGTTTGACTTCTGTTTCATGAGATGTGAAGTGAGGTTCACAATCAGTGCCTGCTCAGAGGCATGGGGTGTCCATGGGGAGGTCATCCAGCATACAGGCACTGGGCATGGTAAGCCATAGGGCATGGGTTCAAATCCTGCCCTTACCACTTCCAAACTGTGCTGTTTGGGTGCCTTTGAAGTGTTCCATCTCCATTTCCTCATCTCTAAGATGAAGGAAACAATTGAAACTGTGTCTCATTGGATTTTTTAAAGCAAAGGAAACTTTGTTATTGTGACTGTTTGTTTGTGAGCGTCATCCCCATAGCCCTCCATGTGCCACAGGAATATTCACTGTCTGTGGCTCATTCCTCGGCTTCAGACCCATCATGGGCCTCTGACCTGCACTGAGACGGACCTGAATCAAACTTCCTCCCAGTCCAGCTCACATGCTGAGTCCTCCTCTGCTGCAGGCTGTCCACATGGCCACCTCTGACCTCTCATCCCTAGGCCAGAACAGTTTCTCAGATCTAGCTGTTGTGTATGACCTCGTCCTCTGGAGGGGAAGTCAGTGGTTTGTTTTGTGGTATTTCCAGTCTTTGCCGTTTCTAATTCTCTCCCCCACACCGCTTGCAAGTAGGAGGCTGGCAGTGCGTAAGACCGAGCCATTTGCCCTGTGCAGGGCTTCACAGTGCTGATCCGGTGCTCCTGTGCCCACCCTGAGGCCAGCGGGCAGACTTCCCTTCACAAGGCTGAGGGGTGCAGGAAAAGCCTCCCTGCTTGGCGCAGGGCTCACAAAGATGTTTCTCCGAACACTTTTCACAGTAATGGTGCCATGTGAAAGAAGGAACCTACCTGGCTGAAGGTTTTAGCCTCTCTATGGAGCTGGTAATTTTTATTGTTGAAATTTTCCAAATTACAAAATGTAAATGAAAGCTCAGTGGAATTCTGGATGCCAGTCCTGTAACCCGGGCCACCAGCTCACAATGCTCAGAGATGGCCTGGGCGCTGGGACCTCCATGCCATGCAAACTCAGGATGGGAGAGTCAGGCCCACAGCACATGTGTGTCTGCCTCTGCATCTGTGAGCACAGGGTTGGTGCCAGGCTCTCATGGGCTTTGAGAACCTGAACCAAGTTCCATGAGAAGGGAAACACAGGAAATAAATGATTATTGATGGGAAGAAAGTATACATTTATGTAACACTTTGCAGTTTATAAAGTCACTTTCTTGATCATTACAGTTGAGTGGGTTTCTTTACACAGCTATGAAATTATGTTATTTAGAAGTCAAAACATCTCACAGTGTTGACAGCTGGTTAGCGTGACTGATGTGTTGTGTAACAGAAGAATGTTTATTAGTGTAGCCTTGATACCATTGTTAATCCTGCTGGCAGATGGGAGAAAGAAAGACTTTCTCAGAGTCACAGCCTAAGATTGCAGCAGTGACACTGGGTGAGGAACCCCGTCCCCTAGCATGGGACTCAGGGTTAAGCAGGTGTGGGGGGGCCCAGACAGCAGCCAGCAGCCGGCAGCTCCTCTGTGGTGACGGAGTGCTCCACATTGGAAGGAGCTCAGGGAAATCAATGATCACGCTTTCCCTGTCCCAGCCTGCAGCTTCCTGCAGTGCAGGAGAGCATCTAAAGCTCTCACCCCAACAGAGAATGAGGTACACGCAAAGGGCGAAGGGTGTGCTTACCGGAAGATAGAACCTTGCACAATGCCATGACTGCAGGAGCTCACACCACCGTGCGCCCCACAAATATATACTATACAGCCGTTATTTGTTGGCTGAAAAGAAATATGGAAAAGATAAAGACATAAAGCCACCGTGAAAGAGGAGAACAAGCTGCCAGTGACCCATATTTCCCAGCTTGGACCCATGGTGACTGTCACAGCCCAGTGACAGCGAGGGGAGAGGCGGTGATTTCTTTCTGAGCCTGGATCTTCCTGTGTGGCTTGCTGGCCTCAGCCTCCTGGAAGCTGTGCCAAGGGGCACACAGAGCCACGCCAGTTCCCGCATCAGTATCTCCTTGCACGGTGACAGACGGGCTCTTCATGGTGCCCGCAGCCCTCTCCTTGGGCTTCTTTCCATCTTCCCCTCTTTCCTTCCACTGCTCCTAACTTCTGCCCCACTGTCACTCGGCTCTCGGTCCTCTGAGCTACGCTGAAGGCTGCTTCCCCTCAAAGCTCGTGACCAACCATGATGCACTGCTCCCCGTGTCACCCTCCTAGGCGCAATGGCTTCACTTTCAAGACATACCGACTCCTCTTTTCCGAATCTTTAACACAGCATGGTTTCTCTTCACTTCTTACCATTTTGTCTTTGTTACTATTTTGCTTTTATTGTTATTCGGAGCCCATCATGTTATGAATTCATCATTTGCCCCAAATTGCCAAGCTAGTGTTTGATACCAAGAGCAAATGTTGGGGTTGAGGCTGTGGCCACTATGAAAGCCCCATGAGATGACGTTGGTGGTTGTGAAGGCAGTGTTTAAATAGCCTGGCTTTCGCCGTCATAACAAAAACTATTTCAGCAATCCCATCCCCCCAGGAACTGTGTTATTAAGCCTGTACATTTATCTGCAGCATAGATTCTGTAAACGGCACCTGTCATTTAAAGGACCCACTGTTTGAAACTGTTCCACAGCTCCTGGAGACCATGCAGATCGGATCAGCACACAGGAAAATGTTACTTTTGTAAAGAGGTGGTCGCTTCCCACTGCAGACGAACCGAACTGAACCAAGAAAGCTTTGGTTCAGTTTCCCATGGGAGGTGCCACTTCCTTCCCCTGACCATGCGGAATCTCCTTCCCACACTGACACAGGTGCCCCTCTCCCTGCCACACGTGTCCTGAGATCTCTGTACCCGCACTGTCAGCAGGCACTGGACAGGGTTCTAGAGCCTCGAGGATTTGCTACTTAATGAATCAGTTGAGACCTGCGCCATGCATTTCATCTTGAAAGGCTTTGCATGATGAACCTGAGGGTCTTTCCTTTGGCACTGTCACTTTTATCCCTGATGCCATTGCTCTCTGCCCTTCCAGAGCCGGGTGGGGACTGTATGGTATCGACAGCATGCCTGACCTCCGCAGGAAAAAGACGCTGCCCATCGTCCGTGATGTGGTGAGTCTCTCTTGGCTAGCTCTTCTGTGTGCCTCTATTGACTTTTTCTCTATTAAAATGTAATGTCCTTCTCATTAGCTACTGAGCCCATGAATATTTCACTGAGTAAAATATATGGGGCCAGGTTCTGCCAAGTGTTATGTTTATTATTTCTTTATAATGTATTTGATGGAACAAATAGCCCTCACCTTCTGGCCACTTTGGATGTTAGCTGAAACCCTACTATGGAGTCAGAGGACTCACACAGCACACTGGTGAGCCCTGGAGTTTGGCAGGATGAACTCGCAAGGTTTCAGGCTGGGTTTGAAATTCCTCTCTGCAGTGGAAGAGACTTGAGTATCCTGCGAAGGAAGCAGACACTATTAATTCGTCCTTTACTATACTAAGGTTGATTTCTAGCCAACTTAATAGGTTCTACTTTCTAAGGAAACCATAGGGCCAAGTCATTAAAGTTTTGTTAGGCCTCAGTGTGATTTCAATAACTCATTTTCCTATAATCAAATATACTGGGACTCACCTAGAAATGCTAAGCATCAACAATAGGGTGGTGGTCTATAATCAATTGTTCAAAAAGCAAAAGGGAATAAAGCCTATCCACAGGGAAAAATTATTTCTATTATTCAGAATATCACATTTTTTTTCCTATTGCTATGTAGGATTCTTAATGTTTTGTTACATGAAAAGTGTATTTTCTCCAAAAGAAACATAAATTTCTCCTTTAGCAACAATGTGCTTAATTATTTTTTCTTTTTGAGACAAAGTCTCACTGTGCAGTTCAGGCTGGCTTTGAGCTCACTTTGTAGCCCAGGCTCGTCTAGAACTTGCAACAATCCTCCTGTCTCAGTCTCTCAAGTGCTGGGATTACAGGTGTGCACCGCCACACCCTGCCAATGTGCTCAGTTTTTATACCAGCAATTTTTAATCTTCCCTTGCTAGGGAAATGGTCATCTGAGGGAGCCACCATAATTTTAAAATATGACTTTTCCTGAAAAGTGCTTGTTCTGGAAAGCGTGATGACTCGATACAATCAGCTGGATTCTGCTCAGTGTTGTGCTTACTTTGAAGTATTAGATCAATTTAACATTGCTCTCTTCTTCCACCTTCATTGTTTAATGATTTAAACTTTGTTTTCCTTTCACTGCCGGATCTTCAGGCCATGGTAAGTGCTTTGCTGTTTGTTTGCTCTCTGCTTTCCTTCCTAAACATATACTGTCCTTGCTCATGAGTGAAAAGAGAGAGAGATGGAGACACAGAAAGACAGGCACATGCAGGAGCAGAAGTCCATACCCTGAGAAAACTTAACATCTATTTCGATTCTGAGGAACTCAGATCAGAAGAGAATACAAGCACATGTTCGGGGCATTTGTCCGAGATGCAGGTTTGCCTGGGGTGAACCCTGGAAGAAAGTCTTCTACGAGCTGACACAATAAGGTTGGAGGTGGGTGGAGTGGCTTCCTGACTTGGAAGCACGTGAAGTGCTGTCTGCTGCATGGCTTCTCCTCCCTGGGAGGGGCATCTAGGCGCAGAGGTGAGATGGATGTCAGGAACTTGTAGTCCAGCGTGACTTCATTTCGCTCCCCAGGGATCACAGCTCCGATGCCCCATTCGGAGCTTCTCAGCTCCAGAGCTCCCTGGAGCACAGCTGGGGCCTTGCACCTGCATGCTGAGGGTAGGGGAGTGGTGAGGTCCTATTCCACAGGGGTGGAAATGCCTTGACTGCCAGCTAAGATCATTTGTGTTCCCAGAATCCTGTGAGGAAGTGAATCTGGGTCTAATGTTCTCAGCAGATGGATGGTGATAGGCAGAGAGCGTCCAGCTTGGTGTTGAGGGAGGTTCTAGGGAACCATCCAGCGCCCACCCCAAGGCCGCCCCACAGTCTGGCCGAGGACCTTGAGGGTAACAGACTCTGGAAGCTCTCTGGGGTCCGGAAGTGGTCACCTTGCCTCGTGGGCCTTAGCTTCATCACCTGTAAAGTGTCAGGCTGGGTCCAACAATCAGGACTGTCTCTGGTCCTGAGTTCTCGGAGACTGTGCCCTAGGTGAACCAGCCAATGACTGGATACCCAGGGCCTTGTCTACTACTGCCGGACCAGTGGCTGCCACCACCCCTACCGCTACCCTCTGCTGAGCTGCATGGATGCAGCCACCTCCTGTCTGCTAATTTGTCTTGATTCTCTCTGTCACAGACCCTGGCTGCACGGAAGTCTGGCCTCTCCCTGGCTATGGTCATCAGGACGTCGCTAAACAACGAGGAGCTGGTAGGTGCGGGGCGGCACTAGCTGCATGCGTCCCTTCTGTGCTTATTTATTCCACTGTTTGGGCATAGCTGGGAGCATGGAGATGCCTGACCCCAGCCGGCATTTCTGGAGCTTCCCCTTGTGCTCACACCGATCCCTGTCTTGACTTCAAATCTGCCCTCACACTCACCTTGATGAGCGTCCATCCGTCCTGAGATGACTGTATTCCTCTCCCCAGGGGTGCGCTGCATTTAAATGTTAGGGTGAGGTTTGTGAGGCTTTCCTCAGATGCCCACTTCCCTGGACTATCGGTCTCTTCCCTCGATGCGGACAGCGTTTAATGGCGGCCTCCGCGGGGCAGGTATAAGTGATGCTGGCCCCTGCAGCAGCGTGGTCACCCTGGTGGGTCTCTGTCCCATCTGTCAGCGCAGTGGTCATGAAAGACGCAGGCTTCCCACTTGGCGGAGCCCAAGACGTAGTAAACAAGCCCTGCGAGGCGCTGCTTTTATTTTTGTGATTGAAATTGATTTTGCATCTTGGGGTCCTTCTCCTGCTCTCATCTCCACTGCTTGATGTGCGGCGGGGCTCGAGGTGACACTTTGTAAACTCACGGAGGGAAACAGAGTCTGTCCGCTGCAGATATCCAGGTCACTGATTCTTAGGCTTGGCCATCGACCTGGCTGGGAACCTTCAGACTCACTGTTGCAGGTCGCTTGCCCAGTGGTGCTGATTTAATTTGCTTTGGGCGCAGCACAGGTTCAGGGATTTCTGCTCACAAGGCCTGTGCCCTGGTGCCCCTCACCCTGCACTCTGTGGGAGCAGAGAGCGCTGATCCGAGTTCTTCTCCTGAAAACAAGCCTTTCCTGCTGTCCCAGCATTAGCGCCTTTCTCCTTTGCAGAGGCTGGAAGTTGTGCCAGTACTGCACCCCTCATTTGGCCTTTCGAATGCCTGACATGTTTACACCGCATTTCTCATTCTCTTCTTTCCATTGTTGTCCTCCTTCCAAAGTCAGCTTTTCCTTGTTCCTTCTACTGCCACGTACCGAGCCCATGCCCATGGACCCACAGGTGTGCAAGGGGGAGAAGGCTCTGTCCCTGGACACACTCTTGTGAGCACCCAGGGCGGCAGCAAGTTGACACACATACGCGGCGTATACCCAGGGTCTTGGCCGCTGTGTCAGATCTGTGAGACTGAGGTGTCTTTGGAATGGTTTGGACAGTGGGAAACAGAGACCTCTTTGTGGGGGAGAAAGCTGTGGAGGCAATCACTACAGTGAAAAGATCACATCGATAAATCCCTGTCTTCTTCTGAAGTTTTAAAATGCGGGATTTGGTTTGAACTGTGACTATCCATTGCTGCGAATCCTGAATAGGAGAGCAAAAGAAATTATAGAAATTGAGCTCCGTTTTCTGAGGCCCTGAACAGGGCCCAGCTCCGCGCTTGGTGTGTAAATGAGCTATTGATCAGCCTCGGTCACTTGAGACTTCACTTTGCGTTCAGTTCAGACATCTCTCTGGATCCCGGATGCAGGAACGCAGTACATTAGCTCCCCTCTGACTCACAAAGCCCATTTCCCCGGAGCCATGTCTCACAGAGTAAATGAAATGTGACTTCAGAGCGGCAGGCTTTTAAATGTCACTCCTGACAAGCTGTCGCGTCCAGCCACCACACGGGTAACTAACATGAACACTGACGCGCACAATTTCCACACTCCAGGGCCAGCCGGCTTACTGGTCACCCTCCACGGGACAGCGTGAAACACCTGCCTTGTGTAAGGGCTGAGGTCTGGCCACATGGGAAATGCCTAGTGATGGCACTTGCCGTTTTAATTAGTCATCGCCGCCCAGTGAGCTAAGGGCACTGAGTGTGCTTTCAGGAGTCCCCGGGAGCATGAGGCTCCTGCATCCTGGGCCCTGAGCAACAGATTCCTTCCCGAAGGCCTTGTGCAGCTGCCAAGCATGGCTCCGATCCCCAGCTCTATCCCCAGCCTGAGGTTCATGTGGGTCCTGCTCTGCAGCCTGCTAGCTAAGAGGCCTGAGGCAAAGTTAGGAAGCTCTCATGGCCTTGATTTGCATCCATGTTTATATACTTCCTTCATCTATGTTCATAAGCAAAAGAGGCTGTGGTCTGCTGTGCCTGGAAAGGGGTTTAGCATCAGTGTTAACCTAGCTTCGTAAAATGTGTAGGGAGCTTCCTTTCCTGAGCTTCTCTGAACAGTTTGCATAATGAGGACGTTGCTGTCCCTCACTGGACTGCATAAACTGGCCTCTAACCCTGTCCAGGTCTAAGCCTGTTGGGAAGGTGGCTACTTGTCCACTCAATCCGTGTTTACCATGGTGATGGCAACCATGTTCTTTACATATTTGTTCTGGAGTCAATTTTGTTCCTGTGTATTTGTGTCAGAAAGTTTCCTATTTTTTTTCTTTTGTAATGCTGGGTCTGAGATCCCAGGCTTCATGCATTTTAGGCAGTCACTTTACCGCCGAGCTGTCCCCCGCTGCCCTTACCTGAACTTCCAGACTTCGTTCCTTCTCTTGGCTGCTTTCCCATTGCTGGGAAAAATCCCAGCCACCCACAGCTTAAAGGAGGAGAGGTTCATTTTGGCTCCTGGTTTTAGAGTACTCAGTTCATGGCTGGCTCCAAGACCTGAGCATGGTGGAGGAAAGCTGCCCACCCCATGGCATCCAGGAAGGAGCTAGAAGGAGAGAAAGGGAGAGAGTCCAGGTGGAGGGCAGAGGGACAGAGGGGGAGAGATGGGGGAGGGAGAGAGAGATAAAAGTTAGTGTTTCCTGGTGAAATGGTGAATTCCCACGCCAGCACAAGGCAGCACATAACTGTGAGACTTATTACGAGGACTAATTACACCTTGCCATTGTCATTATATTCACATTGTCATCAGCAAGTTGAGGTGGGGACGACCTTGACTCGTGTAGTCCGTGAGAAGTATGCTCCATGTCTCCTCATCTGCCAGTCGTCTGCTTTACTACTGCTCCACCTCTTCACTGGGACTCACTCTGCAAGTTTCTTAGAAAAATGATGATTAGCATTTGCTATGAAACAGTGCAACTGAATGCAGATTGCAGCTTTCAGTGATATGCATATGACTTTTAGCTTTTGCTTGTACTTTCTGCTACAAAAATCTTGTATAATTTCAGCGTCTGGGGTATTATTCTCTAGAATATGATTCTTCTGATGAGTCAATCTGCACTGAAACCACATCTGTTTTTACCCTCAGTGTCTTAGTTACTTTTTATTCATTGCTGAGACAAAATACCTGATGACCAAAATTAGGAAAGGAAAGGTTCATTTCTTACAGTTTTTGGAGGTTTCAGTCCATACTCAGTTGGCTCCAAGGCAGGGTGGCATGGCAGGGCTGCAGTTCATGGCGGCTGCAAACAGCAAGTTGGAAACCAGCAAAAGAGCGAGACACACCTTCTTCCTGCCATTACATTGCATCCTGGTTCCACCCCTATATGGGTGTAGCACTGACACCGTCAATCCAAGCACTAGACAATGAATCAATCACAGATACATAATGTAAACTCATGAGGCCTGGGGGCCACCCACATAAACCATGATAGGAACTTACTCTCACATTGCTCTGTCTTCAATATTTAAGCAAATTCCAAAGGTCATTGTATCCAGTGTTTGCTCTGCAAATCTCTGATGCTTTTGTCCAGAAATAGTAAAACAATATACCCATGGGACAGTAAAGGTATCTTTCCTAAAATGTCTGCATCAAGTACAAATGCTTCAACAAGTACAAGAAGTATGCTCCAAAAAAAGCATCATATTTATCTTGAAATTATCAGACTGTGATTTTTTTTGGACTGTGAGGTAGAGGGTTTGCACAATTCCAGGAGGAAAACGCATGGGAAAGGAGGAATAGAACTTCATTAGGTTGGTCGTTGATTAACACAATAACATAAGAAAAGAGAAGTAACAAGGTAAATCAGGCAGGCAACTTGGCTCCTGATAAAATTAACAGCTGGTGGATTAGAATTACCATGGTCACAAAGCACTAGCCACTGCTTTAGGCAGGAAGCCAGAGTGCTTTATTGTTTGACCCACTTCAGTTTCCTCAGTTAGAGACAAGTAGAAAAGTGAATGCATTTCCTTCTAGTGCCCTAACCGTGCAGAAAGTTATGCACCATGCAAACCCAGCTTCGATTCATTTCTTGGTGCAAGAATATTATCAAATATTTGTCTGGATTATAAACTTCCCTCCTTTTGAAATCTATAGCTTGTATTTGGCTCAGAAAGAGAAACCTTTCTTATTCTCTTTTCAACAATTTGATATAGCATTTGCACACACTGTAAATTGCCTTCTTTCTTGGGATTATAAAAACAATGTAACAGTAATTCTGTTGATTTTTCTAGTTGTAAAAGTTATATATCTTGTTCATGCATAGAAAAAAATACCAGAAAGACAGGCCTCCAACCATGCCTGAATTTGAAAATTTAAACTGTCTGATGTCTTATTTTAGCATCTATTGGATAAATTGTTTTTTCAAGGAGGACGTGCTTTATTATAATCAGAAAATGCACATCTTTTAGAAAGTAATTTGTTGTAGAAGACTTGAAAAGTTTAAATTTATTTAAAATCTTTAAATAGTAAGGCTGTCTTATGGTATTCTTCGGGCCTGAAGTCCTCCTCAGGGTCACAGGGTTCTGCTGATCCTGGGGTCCACCCACTCTACACAGTCAGTTGTCCCTTTGTGTCCACGGGAGTCTGGATGCCAAACCCCGAACACTAAAGCCTCAGGTGCTTGAGTGTCTTCTGTGTATTTACACAGCCTGCACCCAGTCTCCAGCCACTGCTACATCACTACCAACCCCTGCTCCGCAAAGCATCCTTTGCTATGCAGTTAGAAACCTAAGACCAAAACTCGCAGCTGCTGGTGCAGGCACTGAGCTTTGCCTTCCCACTGTGCTGGCAGCATCGCAGCTGCAGGGCCTAGCAGTTTGAGCACTGAGTGTGTTGGCCCAGGCCAGAGTCCCTCTGTGATAACAAAGCCAGACTGACCCTGTCTGTTCAGCCCTTCAGCCAGCAGCAGAATCTCCTAGGCAGTAAATGACAGACAGACGGAAAACCAGGCTACACCTCCCAGGAGACTGTCAGCTTCCATCGCTGTGGCACTGTGGGCCCTTCTCTCCTGCTTTCTTTCTTCAGGGCTTTTTGATCTGACTCTGTGTCCCATTCCTCGAAATCCCGAGCCTTGCGTCCTCCTTACGATCATGCGTAGACAGGTCTGGTGTTACTGCTGAGGGAGCACCTTCTTTACCCCAGTGAAATACGTCTTTTAACTAAATGAAAGAGAGCTTGCGTGCTTCCTTCAGCATTAGTTTCCTCTGCTTCTGAAGGGATTTGTCATTTTCTCTTGTGCTCTGCTGGGATAAGGAACGTTTTTGCATGCCATTTATCTTCATTTTGGGCTTTAAGAAACACCATTTCTCAAAAATACAGAATGAGAAGGACTCAAATGGTCATCTCTGAGGATGGGCACACATAGTCCTCCTCCTCCTCACTTATCTGATATTTTTGTTCAGCATCTACAGCTTTTAAGTGGAAATCTAGTTTATCTCCTCATTCAATTGATTTGCAATATGCTGTTAAATTTTCCATGCTTCCTATTCTTCCCACTCAGCTTCTCTTTCCATGAAACAGATCATAGCTCTTTAGCAAAACCAGAACAAACAAAACATCTCTGCAATTTTCTCAGCTATCTATTCAGAGCTTCTGTTTATTTATTTTTCTACAGCATGTTCATGTCTTCAACGTTGCTTATATTTAGAGCTTTCACTGTGACCTAAGGATTGATAGCACTGACTGTGTTACTTAAGTAAAAAGGGAAGGAATTTAAGATCTAAGATGATTTGTGTCATTTACCTAGGCACTGGCTCAGGTACCTGGGCAGCTCCAGACCAACGTGGCTTTCTAAGTCCATATGTGTTTCTTCTATTTCTTGAGTTTAGGGGCTCATAGTTCTATGCCCACCATGATGAGCATCTCACTTTGTGACCTCGTCACTCCCCCAAGTCCCACCTGTGAGCGCACCAGGTTGGGTGATGTCTAGATAGAACCATAACAGTTTGTCTGTCTGTATAACCTTAATCCATACCTGATCCACTCCTACATTTTTGGTAATAGGAACTGAACCCAAGCCCTTTGCACCCAAAACCCCAGGCCTTTTTTACTTTTTATTTCAGTATAGAATCACGCTGTGCCACTGAGTTGCCTAGGAGAGACTCCAAGTTAGACCTTCCTGCCTCAGCCTCGCAAAGTGTAAGGACTGCAGGCATGTGCCACCGCCCCTGGCTCTGCCTCTGGTATTGGCCTTACTGCTGCTCTGTGGACTTGCTTGCTGCAGACAGAGACAGCTGTGCACTGGCCAGACCCTCATGGAGCAGTGAGAATGGATCTGGCCAGACAAATTTAGAAAAGTCGTTAACAGAATGTGGGTCCCCGTGAGAGCCCCATTAGCATTACGGGTGTTTCTGAGGAGGCCCAGGGAGGGGACTACAGAGAGGAAGTGGGGAGCTGGCCCCCGAATGCCATGGGAAGAGGGCTTCATTGAGGCACAGCTGACTGAGGCTTCCCTGAAGTCGACCTCGGGAGCTGGATGGCTGCAAGACTTGCTGCAATCCGCTGACCCCATGGCAAACGAGGAACAAAGTCCCTGTAACTGTGACCACAGTGCGTGTGTGTGGCCTCTCTGCACTGTGAGTGCAGAGCAGGGGCTCCCCACTCCTCCTGCACCCTGAGTTAGTGCTCATGCATCATTCACTCACTCAGGGCTCAGTGGGGCTGCGGAGGCTGTAGGGTGTGTCTGCTGTCAGTGCGTGGTTTGATCTTCAGGTAACAGCAGAGCAGAAAGCCAGTTCCTCTCACAGCCCCAGTGTCTCTCTGTGGATTGGGAGGCTCCTAGGGGCAGAACACTAATTCACTTCACACATGCATGTGTAGACCCTTCCTGTGTGCGAGGGCAGCGACAGGCCCTGGAAGGTGCGAAGGAGCCCATGCTGGACGTGGTGGGACAGGACCCCAGGTCTCTGGATCATCATCCCACCCACAGTGGTTTCTCCCAGGAAATCCTAAGTGCATCCTTCTCAATAGAAGTCGCAGGAGAGTGGTCATGTTCACCTTCATTTTCCACAGATGCTCTCCTAGGTGAGGGCTGGTGAGATCCTATCCATGTGGTTGGTGCTGCAGCAGGTCCCTGTAGCCTGGGGACAGAGTGGGCAGTGTCCTAGGGTCATGGGCAACAGGCAGGGAGAGGCCTGGGCAGGCCAAGAAGCTGGATGTCACAGGAGGTGTGGGCTAGGCACCAGGCACGCTCTCCATGGCCTCCCACTTCCACCAAATCTCCCTGGGCGGGGCATAGCCATGGACCCTGTTGGGGATCTGTGTTCCTGGCCTGCTCCAGCAGGGACCTCTCCAGGAGCTGAGGGTCTCGTGGCAGCAAGCAGGTGCTGGTCCTCTCATGGCTGCAGGGTTTGCAGTGGAGCAGGACAGGCGATGCTGCCAGGGGCCTGCGAGGACAGCCTGCTGGGGAAGAGGCGAGCCACCAGGGCCCAGTAGGCTGTGGACAGGGCCACATTGTTCCAAAGCCCGACCGGGCTCTGGAGCACTGGAGAGGGGAGGGCAGAAGGCTGTGGTTGACGTCCCCCAGGGGATGCTGACAAACTCCCACCCCTGACTGGCTCGTGCCAATTCTCTCCACAGAAGATGCACGTCTTCAAGAAGACCCTGCAGGCGCTGATCTATCCCATGTCCTACACCACGCCACATGCCTTCGAAGTGTGGACAGCCACCACGCCCACCTACTGCTACGAGTGTGAGGGGCTGCTGTGGGGCATCGCACGCCAGGGCATGCGCTGCACTGAGTGTGGCGTCAAGTGCCACGAGAAGTGCCAGGACCTGCTCAACGCAGACTGCCTGCAGCGTGAGTGTGGGGCATGGTGGATCCCCATGGTGCCCAGCAGGATACACAGTGTCCCAGCTATGTGAGGCAGTCACCATGGTGGGGCAGGGGTCAGGGTCTGCAGCCTGGTATGCAGCTCCAGAGAAGCCACCTCACCTGCTTCCTGATACCCCACGTGGTAAGAAACTGTCCCATTCCCACCTAGGTGGGTTACAGCCCTGCCTCTGCAGCAGCAGGATGTCCTCCCCGCCCACTGGGTGCCAGCAGGACAGGAGTGTTGTGCTGCTGCACAGCTCGTGGAATTGGGATCTCGGGCTTGAATGTTGGGGACAAAGGTAGTTACCGAAGTGAGATCCTGGGGAAAGCAGGGAGCTTTTTCCATTTTCTCTCCTGTGTTCTGGGGAGTTTCTGGCCAGGCCACATGGAATGGTGTGCACCAAGAGTGTGGGGCACGGTGGGTGGGCAGATGTCCGTAGTGCCTCTTCCCTCCCAGCTGCAGGACAGACAGTCCCATGGGGCTTTCTGCTGTGATTTATCTTAAACTTGCAATGATTTTTTACTACAGCTTATCTTAATTTATATTTTAAAGATATCTTTATCTGATAATTTAGGTCCAGAGATACCAAGAGGTTGCACCCTTAAATATACAGATGTAACTGACTTTTCCCTTTGGTGTTCGGAGTTGTCACGACAAACCTTGGCATAGATGTCACCTAAACACTCGCATAGGCAGAGCCTCTGCATCTGACCACCTCCCTGCCACTTGGCACTCACGGGAATGCAGCAGGTGTGCTTGCGAGCTTGCCTGGAATTGCATGGGACACGGTTCAACGTCCAGATGCTGGTGGCTGACTCTCACAAGCGGTGAAAGGGAACTGGACAGCGGCTGTGGAGGGAGGGGTCACGGTGTCCTGTGTGACGCACCTCCTTAGGAAGCTGAAATTGGGTATCTCAGAAAGACTGCCTGAGAGGAAGGGGGACTGGCTGGGTGGTGCCCATCAGTCTAATTGCCCAAGTTCATAATCCGATTACAATGTAATCCATGTATTTGAAAAATGAATTGTAAGCAGACATCTGAAGAAGTAAGCGTGTTAGGGCGGTGACGTCAGAGGAAACAGACTGGAAGCCCTGGAACCACCTGGAAACCACGGCTACTGCTTAGAAGGAAAATGTGATGAGGCTCTCACCTGAGAAATGAACCTTGTCTTTCTTTAATCTTTTGGAGAAGAGAGCTGCTGCTCATTAGCTACACTTCAAACACTTCATAATCTATTTCCCTTTCTTAAAACAGCATTTATTATTTGCTATCAGTTAAGTAAATTATATGATCCAAAATTTGTATGGAAATTAGTCATTAAAATGCACATGTGATTTGGAAAACTCAAAAACAGTGTGGACTGCAGAAGCAGAAATGTCAGCCCCAAAGGGTGCTTTGTAAACAATTTTCCTCCCTCTTCCCCTGAAATGAGCACTTCCACACTGATCAGAAGGCAGTTCTGCAAATAGAAGCAGCTTTTGCTTCACAACTTTGCACAAGAACTGTCACTGAAGTTTGCAGGAGATTAATGACAATCTCCTTAAGAAATTTTTCTTCTTCCGTGTGTACAATACCTTCATGTACTTGTACAGGGAAGGAGAGAGAGGCTGAGAGGGGAGCAGCAGAGCTGGGGGTGCACTAGCTTGGGCTTGGCATGTGAGAAGTTTTATTCCAGGTCCTTTGCAAAATGATGATTCACTCTCCAACCCTCCAGGCAAACACAACTCCATGGTGGGCAGCCTAACCCATTAACAGAAAATTCATCAGGTAAAATCCGCACCACTGTCTGCCTCCCGATAACTCCAGTCCACGAAGCTGTATCTTACCGCAGGAGAAAAAGATTAATAAATTGACTTCTATTGTGTATGACAGTTGTTCAAATACTTGAAAATAATTAGCTGGCCTTCTCTAGTTGATGAGCCGTCCCTGGTTTGCTCAGAGCTTCTGAGATCACTGCACTTTACACATACACAAGAAAAGTTCTCCACATGAGTAAAGAGCCATACAAAAGAGAAAGCAATGTAAGCTTCTTTCGGATTGATCTGAGTATGGGGCTCCATTTTTCTGAGGTCCAGCTGACTGGGCAGGTGGCCCACATCTGCCCCCCTTCTGCATCTGGGTAAGGGGTGGAGTGGAAAAAGACCTAACTGCCCAGGGGCAGCAGCTGGAAACCACCTCCTTTTCTGTAATGAGCTCATTTGAGACCACGTAGGGACTAGGGACATTTCATTATGTGGTGGTTGAATTGAATTAGTGAAGATGGAGGAGCAGACTGTGCCTGGTGACATGGATGGTAAGGTACTTGTCACAGCTGTGGTGACTTAAACTAGGATGAAGAAAAGGAGGTCTTTGAGGGTGGGAGCACAGTTGTCTACAAAGTGAGTGCCAGCACAAGAGAGAGTACCCTTGAAACTCGCCTGGATAATCTGCTGAGTGCAGAAGAAAACCCATGACAGAAACCGGAGGGATGTACAGATAGCCAAGGGACCAGCCGGCAGGGCTCCCAGGAGGCATCTTGGGCCTTTTAAAAGAGCATGGACCTAGTCTGAGTTCCTTACTGAGAAGCTCAAGTTCCTGCCCAAGACCAGAGTCACTTCCCCAAGGGCCAGGAAATAGCAGCTTGTGAGATGTGTCACTATGGCGATCCTCTTTATCATTATCTTGGTGCTGGCCTTTGCACTGAGCTCCATCTTGCTGACCAAGATAAGCTAGCAAGAGCAGTCTTGCTAAGTCTCCATGTTGCCCGGTCTGGCCTCAAACTTGCCATCGTTCTGCCTCAGTTCCCAGGTGATGGGGTTACAGTCATGTGCCAACCAGGCCTGGCTGTGAGATGTATTCTTCAGAGGTGTGTGTTCCCCATGGGTGTCGTGTCAAGCTTATGTGGCCTAAACCACTGTAAACTCAAAACATTAATAAACCTGGCTAGCATCCTCTTGTTTGCAAATTGGATATTGATTTCTTTTGCTTGTTGCCCTCTTAGCAGATGCTCCAACTTTGATGCTTTAGGACAGACACATTTTGCTAGAAGCTGAAGATCTGCTGTGGCCAGGAGCTTTGCTCTGGGCCTTCGGGGCTGGAATGGAAGGAAGGAAGGAAGGAGTGTTCTTCTCTGCACTTAATCTTTCTTCCAAAATGCAACTCAGGTGAACAGATGTGAATGCGTGCGCAGTGAGGACAGATGAGGCATGGAAACTGTCCTGAGGATGAAAAAGAATGAAGTCAGTGGAGAGTAGGGGCAGCCCGGTGAGGTCACAGTGAGCACAAGGGAAAGCTCACTCACCTCGCTGGGAGGGGTGCGAGTTCCCTGTTTGTGTGTGCTTTGTTGGCTACTTTGGGGGGTGGGGTACGTGATACTCAGACCACAGAACAGCATGGTTGCCCTTCCTAGCTGGCCCCTCTGATGTCCGGAGAGCACATGACCCCTGTGCCCGCTCTCCAGCTTTCAGTGGACTTCCTGGGCCTGAGCGGGGTTCTCTGCCCACTCCCGGGCCCTGGGTCGCTCACTCAGCTTCCATCCCTGTCTCAATGGCAGGCAGAGCCCAGGTCCTGTGCCTCCTGGCGCTGAGCATGTGTCCCACACTCCGACTCCTCGCTGAATGTGGCTCCCAGGTTTTGACAGGGGAGCCCCGGGGCAGACCTGAGGGGCTGGGAGGTCACCTTTCCACGTGGGAACTGTGGCTCACAGGACCCCCACGTGGTGCCAGGGAAGAGGGAAACACACAGGCAGGCTCCGCCTGGGCCTCTGAAGTCCCAGCTGCTGTTTCTTCCTGACTTAGGAATCCAGAGGCCGAGTTGGTCCTAGTGAAAGGACGGTGTCACTGGTTGGCGCCATGTGTGCCCCCTGGGCTCCTGCAGTCCTGCCATCCTCACAGGTCACTGCCCCAACCTCACCATGGCTCCAAGAAGAAAGTGCACTGCTGCCCACACACACTCGTGTAGGGATGGGATTGGCAGTGCTGTCGTCTTGATGCTACAGTCAGCTCCTCAGCCCTGAGGGCCAGAGCACTAGTGGGGGCATCCTCAGGACGGGGCATCCATGGAGGAGGCCCAGAACGAAGGAAGAGTCTGCCTCAGCCACGCCATGGGTGTGTCCCCATGACACATCAGGACGTCTGCTCCCTGCTTCATGGCCTGACCCCCATGCATCCATGAGTGTGTTTCCAACCCTTGCTGGGCTTTGGTGCCATCGTAGGGCCATGCCCTGCAGGGACAGCCACAGTTCATGCCCCTCACATTCCTGCCCTCCTCGATGCTGGGAGAGTGCTGTACCAGGGACCACAGAGAGTCTGAGGACGCGAGATCTGAAGCCAAGCTTCATGCGGGCCAGGGAGCAGCCTGGGGCTGAGGACAGTCTGACTGCAGGTCTTCGCAGATCTTATCCCACAAGGACCTGAAGCTTCAGCCTCGCAGGAGCTGAGAGAAGAACCCTGTGGGCTCAGGTTCATGTGGAAACACATGTTGCTGACAGCACGAGCAACACAAAGAGATGAACTTATCCAGAGGAAGACAAAGGAGAAGAGCTATCCCTGAGCTCGGGGAGGGGGCTGGTCACAGAGAGAACCTAGGGGATTTGCCCGGCGACCCCTCTGTGCCTGTGCTGAGACAGCATGAAAGAGGGTCCCACCTGCCAGTCGAGTCCTGACAGAGAGGGAACATGTCCTGAGGGCGGCCAGCAGCTCCTGACTGTCAGTGGATGGCGGGGGTTTGCCAGTGCTGCTGAGGGAAAAGCAAACAGAGCCTATGTGCCTAAGACAATCGTGTGTGCTGTTTTGTTCTGTTTATTTTTTTAACAGAATGTGAAGAAATCCGTGTAATTAAATGTGATAAGAACAGAGACACCCTTCTTCCTACCTTCTCTCCCTCGCTTTGTTCTTATTACTCAGTAGAGCAACTTGTTAAATCAAGCGCATCCTTAATTTGCTCCCTTAAACCTCAGAGATGACTTTTGACTCTGGTGATTGGGAAATCTCTAGAAATGGCTGCAGAGACCCAGGGACTGGAACACAGGTGCCTTCCAATTCGAAATGCTTTCATGTCCCCAAACTCCTCCTGCAGGCTTGCCCCGAGCGGTGGGCTGCTGGGATATGGTGGGGGCGGCTCCAGCAGAGGGGCAGGGACGGTTGGAGGATTTTCTTTGTTTCTGGTGTCAGGCTCTGTGACAGTGGTGTCACCTCCCAGAGACTGTTGAGCCTTGGGAGGGGCTCCGACCCACACCCCGTCAGGGACAAAGCCATGGGGAGTAGGGGTGGGAGTGGGAACCTCTGAGCTCGTCCGGCACCCCCAGCCTCTGCTGAGCCAGTTGTTGGCTGCTGGCAGGAAGTGGGTTTACAGCTCTGCTATTGGGAAGAGGAGGCGCTGTGGAGGCCTGGGGCACTGAGGCAGGTAGAGAGGGGCGGTTGAGGTTACCTGGGTGTGCATTTGGAGGTGGGGAGAACGCCCCCTCCATGTTCACCCACAGGATGTCAGGAGTCCAAAGCAACCCGAATCCTATGTGACTTTCCAGGGAGTTGTGAAGCAGTGGGACCTGAGCCTGTGCAAGCCCCTGGGGAGCAATCACCCCTGTGGTGCTGACCTCTTCCCTTTTGGGTGCCCCTAGGCCCCTGGTGCAGGTAAGGGTCCATGGATGGCAAAACATGAAAAATAACTTATTTTTCCAAGTATCTTGAAACTCTCATTTCCTTGGTCTTCAAGCACCTCCTGGCCTTGCTCTGTAGATAACCACGCACAGGTAGCAGGCGGCAGGCACCTTGTGGCCTGTCCATGGCGTCCTCCAGATCTCCCAGTTAGCACAGGTCAGCTCTGACCGTCCATGTGAAGGCGAAACTGCACCAGGTGCCTCTGTCTTGCCCTCTGCCACTGTGCAGCCACACACTTGTCGCTTAGCTGTGTCTGAGCATGGGACTGGGGAGAGGCTTCCCTGGGCCTACTTGGTGGAGCCCTAGTGTCACTCTGCAAGGCTCCACCATCACAACTGTCCCGAGGGCCCCCAGCCCACCTGTGTGAGCACCATCACGCTGCAGATCAGGCTCAGCACGTGAGCTGTGGAGGGCGACACGTTCAGAATGTTGGTGAGGGACAGGCGTTGGCACCAGCCTGGCCTCTGGCTGTGCCATAGCACCATGAACAGTGCCTAGCACCTTTGCTTCGCCTGATTTTCTTAGCATGTCTTTCGTGGATGTTGGACTCACACCCTGGTTCTGTGCCAGCTGTGGAAGAAAATGCTGGAAGGTGGGGTGACTGAGGTCTGCTGTCTGGTGGTGGGCTCAGCTTGGCTTTCTGCCAATTCCAAAGCAAAAGCGAAGGACCAGGCGCATCTCATGTTCCTGAGCTACTTCTGCAGCAGGTCACCACTGTACACCAAGTGTGCTCCAGTGTAACTCAGGCCCTGGGCTTTAGGGTAAGAGTGTGCAGGAGTAGATGGGCGTGGAGTCAAACACAAAGCCAAGCTAAGCAGCCAGGCCTCCACCATTTTACCTCATGGTCCCACAACGAGATGGTTCAGCTTCTCTGTTCCTGGGTCCTGCTGTTTTCCGAGCGGGGCACAGCATACTTGGAACACACCCTGAGCAGAGCTCAGTCTTGTGGTGTGCTGCAAGGGGCAGATGTCGCTGGAGACCCACAGGCTCTGGGGAGCAATGGCTGGACACCGGTCAGGCGGTAATCACATCCAGAAATCTGCTAAAGCTACCTGTGCGTCCACATCTGCAATCTGCTTTTCTCCCCTTTCTGTCACAAAGAGAATGATGTGGCCATCGAGTGTGAAGAGCTCTTCTCTGTGCTGAGGAGGGAGGACTGGGCCTCTGGGTGACTTGCAGGGAGAGAAAGGCACTTTGGAGCAGCTGTGAAAGCATGGGAAGGAGCAAAGACCACGCACAATGGAGAATATCTGCTTGGAAAATCGCTAGAATTGTAAGTTGCCAAGTGAACGTGGGAAAGTTAATTTTACATGAAATTTAGACATTTTGGCCAACAACTGAAAATGAAACACAGTGAGAGGTTCTGGCTGACGGTCTCATGCACGGCGTAGCGGGTCTTGGAGTTTACCCTGCCTGGGACATTTGCTTCTCCAAGGTTGAGTTTTCTTGTAGTTTTATCAAGTATAATTGCATCATCTGATCTGTCACTTAACTGTTCTTAAAAGTCACAGGGATGCGCTTCATGTGGAGACTGTCTGACACTTACAAAGTGCTTTTACTGCGTATTATCTCTTCTGATCTCAACCCTGTTAATCTCTAGATGGAGTATTACTGCATTTCAACGAAGCTACTAGACCTCTTGGCACACATTTTGAAAGAAGACTTATATGAATGCAAATTAAAGTTATGTCTGATTGCTTTGAAATAAGCAGAATGAAGCTGAAGGAGAATAACAAACCCAAAGAGCTAGAGGCTCACGATCAAATGGAACTATGTCAGAAGTAGTGGGCCACCCAGTCGGGACTCCTCGGCCTCTGACTCAGACAGAGGCTTCTTTCTCTCAATAAATATATTCTGTTCTTAAAAAAAAGAGTTGGTTTGATGAGAAAAATAAGATATGTAAGTTGGATAAACAATAATAGGACACTGCAATCAGTGACAAATTATGAATTTGTGGCTACTTCTGAGCTAAACAAATCTAAGCTGAATTATTTTTTTCTTCAGAACAAAAATGTAAAAAGCAGAAAATTTTAAAAGCTAAATGTCTTACCTAGAAATGACAGATAAAAAGCTTCAGCCAAGCTGCTATTAACTTGCTCTTCCTAAACTGGCAGTTTCAAATTTGGAGTCTGTTAGAGTAGCCACTCTCCCCATCATCAGGAGGCCAGGTGAAAGATTGCAACTTTAATTGCTAAGTATTTTTAAAGAATTCAAGAGGCAGCAGTTTAATGGTCTGAGGTTTGATTCCCTTGCATGAAAAACCTCTTGACATTTTAACTCTGAATTTGGGAGTTACTGTTTGTATGAGCCTTTCTTGTAAGTAGTATATCTGGATTCTTCTGAATTTACAGAAATAATTCAAAATATATTTTACCATGTGAGACTTTGATACTCCTTGCAAGAGCCTTTGGGATGCTCACAGCCATAGTAATAATAACTGCCTGGCACTGGGGGAGATGGTGGTGTTTTCATCATTCTAGCCTGTGAAGGCCCTTAGTCTGTGGAAAATCACATTTGGGGGTATCCCTATGTGCCAGATGGTGTTTGCTGGCACCCACTGTCCTTTACACTTAACGAATATCCCTATGCTTTAAATAAGGTATGGCTAGGAGGAGTTGCTGCTATTTGCCAAGCAGAAGCACATTCTACTAGATACAATGCAGTGCAACCATTATTGAAAAATTGCAAGCATGCTTCATCACTGAGGGTTGCATAATTCGCAAATACGTAGCTGTTATAGGACACACATTAAAAGATGAGTAGGGCGTTTAGAATATCTTTTAAGATTGCTTTAAATAAGTTCCTGTTTTTGTATTCCTTTCATTTAAATGTGGTTTAAATTCTTGAAGTTATAATATTGATACAGACAAATAATCTATTCTTTCTACTATTGGAATATTCATATCTTTTACCTTCTGCTGATCATACCCTATTATGAGTATACATTTTCCATTTAGGAAACAGATGTTATACTTTTAAATAATTTTTTTCAATAAAGTAGTACTGTCACTTTCTATATGGATCTATTTTGATGAAAATTAATAGTTGATCTCTCTTTTGTTTGGCTTTTATGCTTAAATTATACTCAGTATTCACACAATTAGATTTATAGGATTTTACTGAGGATATCATTCATGGCAAGGATTATGCAAATAAATTATCCCATTTATTCTCCAGACATTTTTTGAGATATTTGGGTTCCAATTTCATAAATATAATGTTTCAAAAATGATGATACAAGTTAGCCAGTGCTTCCAGCCACATAGATGGAAATTGGGGCAATTGGACTAAGGACCCAAGTCTTCCGATCCTTTCCTTTGTACCACAGTTGCCTCTGTGCCAAAAGTAAGTTATTTCCATGGTGGCCGTTGCTGCAGACACCAGGACACAGGCTCTACCCCTCGCTGCACTCACGCGAGCTGTGAGGATGGGACGTAGGCTGTGTAGCTCACTGAGGCATCTGGTGAGACAGAGAGGACACATGCAGCTCTGGGGACAGTAGTCCCTGGGTAGAGAAGGTGGCGATCCAGAACTAGGATTCTGGAAATGCATCACTGCCCGAAGAAAGGTGCAAAAAGCAAAATGGGACACAAACATGTATCCTAAAATCAAAATGAGTTTTGGTTAGACAAGGAGAATGGAGGCTTCGAAACTGGGGAAGTCAAGGTGCTCTCAGGCTGCAGTGTCTCAAGTCAGCAGCCCACACACCACGCTCAGCCTGCTGCTTTCCAGGTCTTCACATTCATCTCCAGTGAAATTGTGTACCGTTACAATACAGAATGTATGCAAATGAAAAAGTTCAAATACAGGAAAATTTTCACACATTTAATTGTAGTAAATCCCATCAGGAAAAGTAATTAGAGAAATTGAAGAACTCAAGTGTTGGAGTTGCTGATTCCTGAGTGACATTTGCCACTTCTACCCATTTCTCTCTTAGTTTTCTCTTGGATATTCATCAAGTAAAATCAGGTGTTTTATGACAGAGTGGGTTGAGTGCATTGTTTTTGCTGTTTGTGAAATTATTCTCTGAACATTCCAACCAAATACTTTCATATGTGTTCCAGTGTTGTAAGTGAGCGAACTGGGAATCTTGAAGGGCGGTTTACTCACCAATGAGACCAGTGAGAGCCAATTGCTCTGCAGCACAGCACAGGGACTTCTTCCCTGGGGTCTCCCCAAACACCACCCTGATCCTGAGAGGGGAAAGAGTCATTCTCATAATTCTCCTGCTCCCGCTTCGAGCCAGCAGGATGTCATGGCATGCATTCACACCGCCATCGATTTTCTGTTACAGGAGCAGCGGAGAAGAGCTCTAAGCACGGCGCTGAGGACAAGACACAGACCATTATCAGCGCCATGAAAGAAAGAATGAAGGTCAGGGAGAAAAACAGGCCCGAGGTGTTTGAAGTAATTCGGGAAATGTTTCAGATTCCCAAAGAAGATTTTGTACAGTACACAAAAGCAGCCAAGCAGAGCGTATTGGATGGGACCTCTAAGTGGTCTGCAAAAATAACCATTACAGGTAAAAGTAGTTTTCCTTAAAGTCTTTGTTCCCTATTGACGCTGAATGTTTCAGAAATCACTGCTCATAGCAGTTATGGGTAAAAGAAATAGAATACTTTCCCAGGTTGTAACACTCTCTGACAAGTCTGGTTGTTACATCAGAGTCCATCTACTAGATAATTGCAGTATTGCAGCTTTCCTTCTAACGTGCTCAACAGTATCCCAGAGATTCCAGGAGATTAGCTTGGTTACCGCCCAGCACTGATAAATTACAAATGTAGCCAATAATAGTCATTTGAGTCCCAACTCATCCGTCCATCTGATGCGTGAGCAAAGGCCATTTGAGGTCAGGGAGCTTCTAAACTGCCAGGAATGATGCAGACATTGGCAAAGCTTCTTAACCTACTCTGTCAGATTTAGAAGGTAAAGATGTTTCTTTGGGATGAGAGGATCCACACTGACAGCAAATTCATAAAACACCTTTAAATCACAGAGCTTTGAGCAGTGCTGGGCAACTTTTGCCTGCCATCAGGGCCTCGTCTTCCTGTCTGTGTGTGTACACAGGACCTGAGCACGGAGTGCACACATCATGACAAGCAGGTGTATGTGCTTCCTCGGAGGCAGAAGGAAGGACGAGTCAAAGGAAGGAGCTTTGTTTTAAATTTACAGACAACATGGTTTTTCTCTTGTGCAGCAGGATGTTTCGAAGTAGATATGCATGTGGAATGTAAAGTCTGGATAGCCGACACCTGCATTCCTCTCATCACTGTCTCAGGGGAGAGCGCACAAACTCTCCACACATGTCCCGAGAGTGCAGCGTGTCCAACGAGTTGTCTGCACCTCACTGTAGGCCTTGTGGCTCTGTGGAAACCATCCTGCCTACTTAATTGTAGTGTGCAGGCTTCCACTGACCTCGCACCATCCCAGTTTCCGCCTAACACCCAGATCTGGTATCCAGGGCTGCAGTTTTATTTATGAAATCACCTTTTTAGATTACACATGTGTGACACCAGGTGGCACCTTTTTCCGTGCCTGTCTTATTTCACTTAAGGTAATGTCCTTCACGTATATCCGCCTATCACAATGGCAGGATCTCTTTCTCATTGTATGTGATAAATCAGTAAAACACTTCAGTAGATATTTCTCAAAAGACAAATAACTGGCCACAGGTGTATGGAAAACTGTCCAGCATCACGGATCATTGGGGAAATCCAAGTTAAAACCATGAGGAGGCGTTATTTCATACGTGTTTTTTCATCACTGTAAAAATCATTTCGGCTATGGGAATAAAAACAGTGATCATGCATCTGTAAACCAAGGAGATAAAAAGTATTTTCTGTGATTATTCGGACCTGAGGATGTCTTTGTGCTAAAATGTTCATTCTGGTTTATTTCAGTGGTGTCTGCACAAGGCTTGCAAGCAAAAGACAAGACAGGATCAAGCGACCCCTACGTGACAGTTCAGGTTGGAAAAAACAAAAGAAGGACTAAAACCATTTTTGGAAACTTGAATCCAGTATGGGATGAGAAGTTTTATTTGTGAGTATATAGTGTAAAACTATTACAAATATCAAAATATTTAACAGCAAATTTAAGACTGGCAAGCACAGAATAAGGTGATAATTATATTTTAATAATCTCATGCAGAAATTACGAAGAATGAAACTTAGTAGTGTGAACTTACTTAATATTCTCATAGCATTGGTTATTTATTCCTTACTGTTAAGCAGCTGAAGGAAAGAATATTTCACAGGAAAACAAGGTGGCACAGTGACGGTGACTTTGCAGGAGGGAAAAAATGATTCACAACATAATCTATGATCTGGGACAAGCCAATTGCTGGGAATTTACAGCAGTGATTGGACAGGAGAAAGGTCCCGGGTGTCTCGGGGCCATCAGTCAGGGTAGACCGGTACCTGCACTCACCTCCACGACAAGGGTGGTGAGAGCAAGGGTGGTGGCACCACTTGCCTTTGCCCTTTCCTGTGAGGACAGTTATTTTTAAACCTCTTGTATCTTGCACCTAATAGCAAGAAATCATTTTTTTCTCAGGATTCTTTTCTTTTTGGAGACAATAAATAAATAAATACTTCCAATTACTGTGGGCAGAAGTGGGAACCTCTGGATTCAAAGGCATCTGTTTTCTTTCCTTCTCTCTCCGCAAACAAATTAAATATGCATCTCATTAACATTGCTAAGCAAACAACCCCAGAAAACGGGGCTTGCGGGGAGGGGACAGAGATGTGGGCTGAATGTGTAAGAAGCAGAATTTCTGGTGTGTGTTGGTGATGAGAGAAAGTGCTGGGAGATGTCTGGGGATGTCATAGGCCATGCCACAAAGGCAGGAGAAGCTAAGGGACGCGGTGGCCTCTCCCTGCAGGGGGATGGAGGGACTCCTTCAATAGTCCTGTGTCCTTAAGCACCAGACAAGACATCAATACGGCGCTGTCAATTCAGGTTCTTACTGGAGTCGAGTAGAGGGGTAAAGCTGAATAAAGATGCCAGGAGCAGGCTGGAAAGGCTGGCAGAGCGGAGAACAGACGTTCAGGATGAGAAGCAGGAAGGACACTGTGTGCCCAAAGCTGGGATGCGGCCGGAGCCTCCAGGTCCTAGGAGAGGCTGGATGGTGGATAGTTAGGAGCAGCTTTACTGACGTGGACCTGACGGGACAAAATCTTCACACAGGCGTCAGTCTGTTAGGACCCCAGTGCACACCTCATGGAGTCAGCCCAGAGGGTTAACCTCGGGGCCGCCTGTCCTGTCCAGAAGATTCTTCATCCCCAGCCCCTCTGCCGGCCTCTGTCTCATCTGCTCTCTGATGCTATTGCTTGCACTTGTTTTGCCTTTTCTAGAGCTCTGTGAATGGCTCAGGAGGAAGGCGCTCTGTGTCCTGTGGTTCTGTTTACTCAGTGTAATTGCTTTGTGGTCCACCCGAGCTCCAAGGGACTGCAACGGCTCATTTCCTTTTATTGCTGTGCTTCATCCCACGCGATCATGCCATTTTATTTTTATACACAAATGTCTGAGAATTCTAGGTCTGACACGACCTTCTCGTACTTGAGAAGGCAAATCTCTTCAGTCTTGGCTTCCTAGCTGGCATGTGGCTGGGTCTTAGGTCGGCTCTGCTTGACATTTGTCTGGAAACCAAATAAGAACTTTAAGCTTCTTTTTATTTGTTTTTAGATTATGGGTATATTTTATTTGACTAAGTATCTATTCAAGCATTTTGACTGCTTTGTAGCCTTGGTGTTTATATTATAGTATTAGGTTTTACTTTTAGCTGTATGATACATCTTGAAATACGTCAGTGTGTAAGTTAGTAGGCGTAAGCTCATTTCTGAATATGGCCATGTAAGTATTTCTGTGCCATCTTTCTCTGCTAAATTGCATTTCCACTGGTGATAAAATTCAGCTCTATGTATGTGTGGGAACATTGATGAATTCTGTATTCATTCTGTTGATTTGTGCTTTATGATTCATGCTTTAGGATCACGTAGTCCTGATCACTGTAGCTTTATGATAAGTAGAACAGTAAGGTAACGGTGGCCTTTCTTCCAAAATTTCTTCCTTTGTTTCAAGGTCATTTTGGGATCTTCCAATTATTTCCACATTAATTTTAGAATCGTTTCATCACATTTTACTGAATGAAAGCGGTAAACTCCTGGTGGAATTTTGGGGTTTCCAGTACGACGTCAGGCAGCAGTGACCTGAGCACAGGTCACTCAGCTCCTCTTGTTGGATCAGATGGCCAGGTTTCTCAGCCATGGTATTGGCGATGAGAAACCACCTTCCATCCCCAGTGAGCAGTGCCTGGCAGTGGGAAGTGACTTCACAGTCGCTATTGGTCTGTTTCTGTACCCAGTGTGACGACTGTGATTTTGTGATCTAAAAGAGCAGAGGTCCTGCCTGTTATCATCACACACTCTGTGAGAAGTCTGCTGCAGTCCGTGGGGCTCCCCACATGGCATGTCTTCTCCCCAGCAGCCACTTTGTCATTTGTGTGATTAAATTGCCATACAACACAGTCTATTTGTCATCGTGTTTCTGGTCCATAGGGTTGTGAGGCCACCTGAGACTGATTTGGCATTGTCTTTCAAGTTTGGAAAAAGCTGTCATTTATGTTTCTGCCACCTCCTGTTTGGGGACCCACTTAGTACATATATGGCCTCTGAAACACGTCCCATTGCTCATGGAGACCATTTTTTCTTTTCTCTTCCCTCTTTTCCTTCTGTTTCACTTGGGTTGTTTCTATCTAAGTTAGTTTTTCTCCCAGACTGTCTACTGTGCTACAATCCAAGCCAGTTTGTTTTTCTATCAGATATTCTATTTTTATCTTGGGAAATTCAAATTTGGTCTTTTCCTTCTATGCCTCTGCTTAACTTTAATGACTGTCATCTGACTGCCAGTTGAGTATCAGTGTCCAGATTTGATGGGTAAATTTTGATTGATAAGCCTCAACCCTGATCGATAAGTACTTTGCTTTATTTAGTAGGATATGTCAGTGATGCGTCATAACCATGCTCATCTTGGGAAATTAGTGTGCATGCACAGCACATCTGGACCATTTGTATTGTAGCCTCCCCTCTCCTTCCCTGGGCCCCTTTCCTGCTCCACAGATCTAACTCCCTGTGTTTTTTTTTTTTTTTTAACCAACTTTCTTTTGTTTTTCTCATTAAATTACTTATAGTTTCAGTCTCTCTTATTGGAGAAATCACACCGTACTTAACTTCCTATGTCTCATGTATTTCACTTCGTATTATATCTCAAGGTCCATCTGTTTTCCTAAAATGACCTGGGGTTATCCTTTCCATGACTGCACATTACCCTGTTTCTTTATCCATCCATCCATTAATGGGTAGATAGCTCAGTACCCTAATTTAGCTCTTGTGAGCTGTACTGCTGTGAATACGGGTATGCACACATCACGTGATGCGATGCCTTTTCCTCTTTCAGGAAGATACCAGAAGAGGTACAACCAGGTAAAATTTAAAATCTCCGTACTTGTTTGCATAATGGTTGTACTAGTTTACGTTTCCACAAGGAAGTAGAAGCGTGTAATGTTTTTGAGTCCTTGATATTAGCTATTCTCACTGGAAGAAGGTAAAATCTCAGTGAGGTTTTGATTTGCATTTCTGTAATGGCCAAAGACACTGGACATTTCTTTTCATGTCTTTGGTTCATTTCTATTTAATTTTAGTGCAGGTAGGTCATACCTGTGTAGATTCAATCTTCTGGTTACCAGGTGGTAGTTAACCAGTTTTCCCAGAACCATTCACTAAAGAGGTTATGTTTCCTCCAGCATATATTATTGGCCTCTTTGTCAAAACTATGATGGCTGAAGGTGCTTGAGGTTGTTTCTGCATCTTGTGGTTCACTGGTTAAGTTTTGGTTTTTTGCCAGTACCATGCTGGTTTTATCACTGTAGCTTTGTAGTATAATTTGAAGTCCAGGATTGTGATGCCTCCTGCTTTTCCCTTGCTGCTCAGGATTACTTTGGCTATTCCAGTTCTCTTCTGGTTGCACATAAATTGTAGAATCACTTTTTCTAGTTCTGCGAAAAATACTGGTGGCATTTTTGGTTGAAATTGCATTAAATCTATGCATCCTTGTTGGTAAGATGGCCAAGAGCAAGGTTATCTTCTCATTTTCTCATGACTTCTGCCTTCAATCTTTTTTCCTGAACACTGTAGAATATAGAAGTGTTTCACTTCCTTTGTTAGATTAATTCCAAGATGTTTGCTTTTCTTTTTTGAAGGTACTGTAAATGGGATTATTTTCTTTTTTAAGCTAAGTTTATCGGTATATCTTAGGTATACATAGTGATCATATTCATCATAGGAATTTATACCCATTCATGATGTATTTTGATTCCTCCTTTTTTCCCAATCCCCTTCTACTTCTCTTCCCCTCTCTATTTACAAAGCTTTGTTTCCATTTTATCCTTTTTAAAAATCATTTGTCCTCTCCCCTTCCTTTCCTTCTTTTCTCCTTCCCCCATTCTAATTCTTCTTTCCTTTTGAACAATTTCTTTCCATTTCACAATATCTACAACACATTTTGGTCCTTATTAACTCTCAGTTTTCACACCAGATAGACAATACAATGTTTATATATGTGACTCTGATTTATTTCACTTAAGAGTACAGTCTCAAGTTGCATTCATTTGCCAAGAAATGCCTCAAATTTATCCTTCTTTATGCCTAAGTATTACTCCACTATTTTAAAAAATCTTCTTTATCTATGACTCATTGATGGTCATTTAGGTTGTTTCCAAGATCTGGCTATTGCAAACTGTGTTGCTATAAATATGGGTGTCAATATATCACTGTAGAGACCTAGAATAGCAAAAAAAAAATCTCCACAACAAAGGCAAGGCAGGTAACATTATAATCCCTGACTTGAAATTATACTACAAAGCTACTGTGATAAAAGCAACTTGGTATGGGCAAAAAAGTAGGCCTGAGGATCAGTGGAACAGATTAGAAGATGTAGAAACAACTCCAAACACACTTAACCTCCTTGTCATTGACAAACAAGGC